ATGCTGTTATTGTACTATCTCGTGGAATAAAACCAATCATCCTCACGCTTGTGTGATTATTCAAAGTTAGCGATAAGCTTAAAGCCAAACCATCCTCATCCCTCATCAAATCATGATTAAAGAAATGGGATTAGTAGTTCCTTGGATTTCTCCAATCATGTTGCTCGAGTACCCTCACGTGCTTCCCATCATTTCCGACGATTTCTTTGACGATCTTGTCGCGGTTCACATAATTTAAGCCCCGTCGTTCTTGGCGTGAATGATTGTGTGTGGTGACCGTTTAGAAAAAAAAAAGGCTGTGTAATTGGGATTAAATTAGTGTCCTTCTCATCAGAGCTGTTCCACTTTGAAGTTGTGAGGGAGACACGTGACGTATAGTTGAGAGGGAATGGAGTCACTGAAGCAAATATTTATGTGGGAGGCAAATTTATATTTCCAATGTTTCGTAGAGAACATTAATATTAGAAAAGATAAGTGAAGTTATTACAAGATTTGAAAAAAAAAACAATACAGAACTACTACTCACCACGGGCGACCGGACGGTTATCGTTTTTACGGTGTTGGGTTCGATTACAGACCGAGTTACCGCAATCGGATGTTCTTGGTTCTCAAAGAAAATATCCGAAGCAGGCTTCGTGCAACAAAACAATATCTTTTTTGGTGCAACATTTGGTGCAACCTTCTTAAAAAAAAAAAAAAAATCATGTTGCGCGTATTTCACGTGATCCTGTCAATTAACTATTTAGGTAGTCAGATGTGCTTACTTTTTGAAGTAATTATTTGAAAATTAGAAAGAAGGCTTCATCAGATCAGCCAACTTCTACCTTGAGATCTCCCTGTCCCATCACAATTGTCTGTAATTTTTCTCCAGGCCCACAACCATCCCTCTGGGAGAGCCCAGAAGCATGATGGGCACATCGATTCTTGTCCGTAGGCAGAAGAAGCACGTGCCCCCTCACCCCCGGTGATCATTAGTGCAGACACAGAGTAACATAAAAACTCCAGCAAGCGTGTTCTGAGATGTGGGGCCCAGCTCTGATCCCTTCATGATCAATCATTGACAATCATGGGTACTTGATGATGATCCACGCTCTCAGACGCCAACAGCATGTTCATCTGTAGATTGTATGGTGTAATCTTTTGATCTCTGACGATAATTATTGAGGACGATGGTTAATCGAGCTGATGTAAGTAGATTCATCAACTGTAAATGGAATAAATTAAACAACGCTTTGGTCATGACATCTGGTTAGTATGATCATTGAGCTCAGTATTCAGTATATGGAATAAATTAAAGAAAAATTTTCGAATCAACCGTAAACAACACTACTGTCGTTGAGTAAAATTTTTGGCATCTACATTTCATAAATTTTAATACAAAGTCGATGGATTTAAGTTACTCCACTCTCCAAACACATATCACGGCCATCGGCTCTTTTCTCTTGCAAAGATCCGTGCAGAACTTTGGTCGATAAGGTATAAGGTCTCGTATACAATTGAACTAGCAAGAAAAGGTTCAGTACATAGCGAGTTCAGAAAGAATATATCGCGAAACATTTAGATATCTCTACAAACAATATTACACGTTATTCTCATCCCGCTATAGTATGTACATGGTTCTTCGACTTGGTAGCAGCAATGCCATCCTCAAGCATTGAGCGTTTCTTTTTCATCGGTTCTACTTTCAGAACAGTTCCTACCTCTACTGCGTACCAGCATAATCAATCATTATACACCTAGAAAAAAAAAAAAATTTGTGATAAAGACAAACTGGTGACTAAGTTCAGAGAAAGATACCAACGAGTATTGGATTTTTTGCTGCTCATCCGAACCTCAGACAGTATTTAGAGTATCAGCAAGACATCGTAGTATGCATCCCAATCCTGCTCTCTCCGTCAACTTCTCATGAATCCTCAAGCACTGATCGCATGTGGGTCGATCTCCTGTGGCCAGTCCTCTATAAAGATACCTGTATATTTAGACACATGAGGTACACTATTATAGCATCGGAGTCAATAGGGGAGCTTGTGCAACTAAAAATTAAAGAAGGGAAACTGCAAAGGAATAAAAAGAGAAGTATTTAGTTTCTAAGTCTGAGGTTTGAGATCACTGTCTCCTACTTCTGTCAAGGAAAGAGGTTAGGCTGGATATGCGGTTGCATCAAGTATGTCAAATTCATTTATACTGTGTGAAAAGATGAGGTCCAAGAGAAACGAAATGCTAGCTTCTGAAGATTGGGTCCCAAATGCAGGTTGTTTCCAATAATAGAAGACCGCGGGGTGAATAAGGGATGTAGGAGGAGAGCTTTGTGGATGAAAGGACCATTACATTTCACTACAAGAGGCCATGCATTTTCCTTTTCTGCCTCCAGTTTCATTCAGACTAACAATATTTATTATGTAGATTGATATAAAAAGAAAAGGCTACAGTCTTGCTTTTGGAAGCTTAAAACAACACGACAATTAGTAGCGAAGTTATCATCCTTGTGATTACCTAGCAGCAAAGTGTTTTATAATCTTTGGTCGTGTCAAGGATGTCAAATTCAGTTAAAACGTGTGAAAAGCAAACCAGAATTATAAGTAGAACGAAAAGAACAAGACTATTATCTGCGTAATATGAACTCAACTACGAGTGAAACATCAGCAGGTTGATCTAAGGTGTATTCTAAAGTTGGAATTAAGAAGTAGATCTTTGAGATGGTAGCATTTTCAAATTCGCCAATGTCTTTGTAGGCAGCTCTTGTTGCAATTGTGCTGAACATTTTATCGATTTGGCCAGTGAGATAGCAGCTTCATTGCTACTTCGACAGAATACTCGCCTGGTCATGACTCCCACAAGCACAACAACATACTTTGTGATATTGGAAAGGGCAGAATCCCACTCTGTGACTCGGAAAGGAGCAGTAACAGATGGTGATTTCAACAAAAGACATCCTACTTGTGAATTAAACAGGACCTTTCTCTCCACTGCAAGGAAAATTTTGCCTTAACGATAGAAGAAGCCACATATTGTTGCCATATTAAAGAAGGCAGCATCACTCTCAACAAGGAAAACATTTTGCAACACTAAACAAGGAGAAAACTGTTGCTTCTCTGGTTTGTGCCAACACAAACAAAATACTCCCCATACCATGCTAACGCGGAACATCCATATCCTCTGAATCTTGATCATAACCAAATTGTCATGTGAATATAGAGGTTTTGTAAAAGAGGTTCCAATCAAGTGTACGGTAAGGATACTTCGGAAAGAGAATCAAATCTTCCAACACATAATCTGGTTATGCGGGATCTTTTAATTGATTGTTGTCATCTTGTACCTATCCACCTCTGGAAAAGGATATGGAAAAGGCACCAAATACAACTACATTTGTGTTTGAGGAAGTCGAGCCTTTTTAAAAGGGAAGAAGCCACAGGACGCAACTTCCATACTAAACAGCATATCTCACGCCTCTTCAATGCCTAAAAGTTGTTGCAACTGGCTTCAATTTTTTTTTGGAATTTTTCTTTTCAAAATGGAGCCGAATGCATGTATACAAATAGTTGATAGGACATGGCACTAAACAAGAAGACCCTTCATGATTATCGTTATTGCCCCTCCCCAAAATGAATAGCAATAAAACAACCTGCCAAGACTATTTTCGCTCTTCTTGCCTTTTTCCCGCTACAACAGGTATCTCTGGAAGGATATGATATCCTTCAATTGTCTTGACAAAACAGTATAATTATATTACAATAAAGGTTGCAAAATATCCTTGTTCACTTTATGAAGGACATGACTCTTCTCTTGATTTCCGTCTTCACCATTCTGCCTTCTGAAAGAAGATAATAACCTAATAATTATCCAAGATATGACTACTTCACAAAGCGTTGTTTTTCAAAAGCTATAGGTAAACACTAAACGATTCCTTTAAACAAGATGGATGAACAAAACTATACTAAATATCGTGTCTGCCAACGAAAAATTCATCATATACACCAAATACTGAAAAACGATCTTTTCGATTCACATAAAAATACTCCAACTTTCCCGTATGACAATTAAAAGTATTAGCTATTGGACACCAACATCCTATAATCACCCAAAAGATTCGTTGGTTACGATGATATTTTTCTCCCAAAGCAATAATTCCTCCTAAAACATCAGCTTGCAATGTAAGGATAATAGCACAATCCATTTTTAACCCATGCCTTAAAACCACCCATGCCTTAAAAACATCTACTTAAACAATATCTCCAAGAACTCAAATATCTCAAGAACTCAGAGATATCACTATTCATTGAACACATTATGGCTTCAAAGAACTTATATTCCTTTCTAAATCTATGAATATTCTTGATTGAGAGCGATACAAACTATTGTTTTTTACGAACAAATAATTCACCTTCACATGCTATATTTTTTATTTCGAGTGCAAAGAATAAATTATTTGTTCGCATAATACAACGAATTGTATCATTCTCAGAAAAATATCCATGAAGCTGGAAATAAATATACATTTATTTAGAGCCACGAGGCGTTGAGGGATAAAGGTATCTTTGAAAACACTTGGTAAAATTATTATAAACAAATTTCTAGGGTAGGAGGGAAAATTTTGGGTTCCTAGATATTTCACTAACACAGATGGCTTTATGGAATGAGCCAAAGATGTCTTACACCAATATCTGAATGTTTTATTACAATATTATATTTTGAAAGGAATAATTACTTTGAGAGAAAAATATCATCATAGCCAAAGAATTTCCAGAGTGACAGTGGAATGTTCAAGTTCTAATATTTTACATAAGTCAAATGGGAAAATTGAAATATTTTTATGTGAATTGAAATGGTTTCGCCATCTTCTAATATGTGGAGAGACATATAAAGCATTGCCCTATGCAATCGCGATCTTTACTACAATTCAGCTCATCCTTTTTCTTTAAAGGAGTTTTGATGTCTATCAATCAATTCTGAGAAAAAGCCTTGCGAGCAGAGATCACGTCTTCTGCAATCATAGGGTTGATTTCTTTATTTATAAGGCATAATGGTCAAAATGGGAATCTAAGATAAGATTCATGTCCATTGTACAGCGAACAACGATATCTTGTAGCCTTTTATAGCAATATGATTATGCCATTTCGTCATGTTATTTGAAGTATATTATATTCATACTGAAATATTTATCTTCTAAAAAAGCTTGAGCACAGTTGCACGCCTTGTCCATACTGAAATATTTATCTTATAAATATAAAGGAGGCGCTAAAGATGCTTAGTGTGAATACAAAGCCTTGTCGCTTCACTTTTATAACGACTTCTCACAAAAGTAATTTTGTTCAGCTCCTTTTTTGTACTCTTGTTAGAAGGTGGATGGGTACAAGATAACTAGAATCTATCAAAAGAACACACATTATCAGATTATTTGTTAGAACATTTGATTTTTCTTTGCTAAAGTATGCTTAACTAGAAATCCTTTTAGAGATTCCTACAATCCTCATAGATTCAGAGTCTTCAGATGACATTTTAGGTTAATATTTTCGTATGGTATTAATGTTTCGAGATTTCCTACCTTTATTGTTATATTATCTAGATAATGGAAGTGTCATGCTCACTCATGGTTTACAAGATGTCTTCCACGCCAAGGGCATTGCTGCCTTCTTCGGTATGACAACAGAGACTTCTTCAATTGATATTAGAGGGTATAGAGAAAGTTTTGTCCTATCGAAGTCATGGAGTAGGTTGTTTTGTTGTTGAGATCACCAATTCGATGAATGTGATTACATTCTTTCATAATCCTCGACATTATCATCTCTTCTAGGAGATGCATCAGTTTTTTGGTGAAGTTGTTGTGAATCAAATTCAGAGGGAAAAAAAGCAGCCAGAGCATAAATTTCATTTGATGGAGTTGATTTAGCTTCTGTTGTATAATTTGGTAGTGGCATCCATAAACTGACAACTAACACAATTTGTGGTTGCTGAGCATTGATGTTGCCGTTGTTATGGATTGTAGGGATTGTTGGCCTTTTGGTGTGATCGTCTGTTGCTACTAACCAAATTGCAAAGTAGAATTATATCCTTGTTAATATCATGAAGTATGTTGTGCTTGTAGAAATCGTGACTGAGCTATTGTTTTGTTAAAGTAGCAATCTCTAAAGCACAGATTCGCCTCCGGAGGCTACGAATCCGTGTTCGACTCGAATCAGACACGGATTCGTCACGACACGTGTCCGACACAGTCAATCCGTGTCCGACACCGGTCAACGGTCAAATTAGGCTCAGACACGATCAAAGGAGCTCGGACATGGCTCGGATTCGCCGAAGACCGATTCATTCGGGTTGCGGGTTACGAGTTTGGTTGTTAAAATCCAACCCGAACCATTCGATAAAAAAACTCATCCATATTTCTCAAATCTCCCGTTCAATTCGATCCTCAGCTGACTCAAACGAAAGAAAAAAAGAAAAAACCCTAACCCTAACCCTAATCCTCTCTCTCAATCTCCCAGCGCACTCCTGTTTGATTCAATCACCTCCGTTGTTCCGACCCGATCCCGCCGACCGCTCTGCTGTTCCGACCCGATCCTGACGACCGACTCCTCCTTCCTCCGACTCCTCAAGTCCACCCTTCATTCCTCCCAGTCTAGCACAACCACCACCAATGTCATCATCATCTCCTTCGGTTTTTGAGTTCGAGCAGCAACCCAGCATCATATTATTATCATAAATCTGATGGAGAAAGTTACTCATTTATACTAAATCGAGATTTTCATATTACGTTCCATCTATATATAATAATAATTTTTTAAAAAAAAATCATTGCTGTATCCCCGTATCCTATTTTTTAGATGTTGTCATATCCCGTATCCGTGTCCGTCCTGTATCTGTGTCCCGTATCTGTATTCGTGCATCATAGGTAGTAATGAAGATGCTATCTTGTTGAAGACTAAGCTGAAAGTCTAAAGGAAATCTCGACGAGGTTTTGTCCATCAAAAGCATGGAAAAGATTGTTGCTCTTGTTGGAAATAAGGAGGAAGCTTCTTCCTTTGTCAACATCGCAAGTGATTGTTCTTATTGATATCGTCGGGATTATGACTGTGCTTACTATTGTTATGGAAAAAGAGCCAACTTTCTCTATTTTTTCTCATGCCTTTTGCTTTGAGATTTGCAACTCTCTTATGGAGGTAAAGGATTGGAGCATGGGTAAAGCATATTGTAATTAGGTCCAAATGTGGGCCGAGTTAGAAATAGTTACCATAGTTGCACGAGAACCAGTTCGTTCCAGTTCACGAGATAGGTATGAGAGTGTGACATGCCACTCACTAGGAATAAGGTAAGGGGTATATGCTTATACGGTACCCAGGGGACATACGTTTTAGGTTCTGTTCTTAAATGTAGGAACCAGAGGTTCTGTAAGAGTCAAATTTAAGTAAGATGATAATTGATATCGGTAATGATAAAAGAATCTTCAGAATCATATTACAATCAAGGCTTTTTGCTTAATTTCTCACATTTTTTTGTTATTTATTCTTTGAAAGTGTTTTTTCATCAAAAATTTAACTAGTTTGAATCCTAAGCCAGCTTGCTAAAATTGGTGAACCGGGTCATGTTTCATCATGAATCTGAGACGATTGAACCCAGGTCATGGTTTACTACATTGTTCCACGTTTCCGAATTCCATGGTACTTGCACAATGCAACTAGAGGACAAATGTGCAAACGTAGTAAGCCCATTACAATAATTGCAAGAACATGTTACTCTTGAGTACTCTCATCTAACATAATTTTGATTTTAAATAAATTTTATCATGACATTGTTTGTTCTTAGAAAGCATACAAACACTTTTTTTAGTAGAATTGGTGAATGAAAAAAGAGCAATCAATTACGAGTTGCGCTAGCTATAGAACATTCCGCACTAGCTAGATTATCTCAATTAATCGAGCTAGCCTAAAAAGTTAGGAATAAATAGGTTCAAGTTAGCATCATTTGCTAGGAGAATTTCCCAGACTTTGTATGACTTGATGATATTTTTTATCTTTTCAAGCAAAGAAAATTGACAATCAGTCTCTCAACTTTTTATATATTGGACTAAATTAATAACAAGATAAATGAAGCGTCAAGTCCTATAAACAAATAGCCCACCATTACATACTTTTTTATTATCTAATATATTGAAACACAATGAACACCACATGACTCTTTGACATATTTAATTTAATTAGATGAAAATTTTGCCTTCAACAAATGCCCCAAATAGAACATTCATGTTGTTAAGACAAACATGGAGATACATAATTTCGATAATTTGTGTGTTTAGTACTTTGATGTTTACTAGATACTTTCAAAATTCTACATATGTTTATTCATTATTATTTTGATGGAAAGTGCCAAGATAGTCAGTTGGAGGATGGGGGTCCATGGTTTTTCATTGATGATTGAGATATACTCACAAATGAAGCAAGCGATTATCATAAATTCATACAAGTTATAGGAAGACTAATGAACTTACATAGAATGTTTAGGCCAATGCCTAATAGTTTTTATTTTTGAGTTAATTTATTGCTCAACCATTGTTTAGAGACATGTACTTTCTAGAGAGGCCAAGTTACTCCCCAACAAATGATATCATGGGTCAGATTATGCTTCAAGAGGGAGTTAAGTCAAATATAAAGCCTGATAATGTCAAGCGAGTGACCGAGCTATTTGGTTATCACACAAAAGGTCTAACTAGCTTGTAGATGGTAGAATATTCTACGAGTATTGATAGTCATGTTGCTACCCATGGTTGTCAGTTTAGCCAAGTCAAAATGAGTAAGACGAAGTTAGCTCATAGACGGTGGAAATTCTTATGGATAATGCTAACAACCATATTGTCAGCTCATAGAGAGTGGAAATTCAAATGGATACTAATAATTATTCTACAAGGATTGATAGTCATGTTGCTATCAATGACTGTCAGTTTAGCCAAGTCAAAATGAGTAAGATCTAGTTAGCTCATAGACAGTGGAAATTCTTATGGATAATGATAACCATATTTTTGTTCATGGTTATCGGTTAGACCAAAATTCAGATGATCGATGGTGCCCAATGAGGTTGCCTACTCGTGGTTTATCACGGATGATTGAGATATACATAACAATAAAAGAGATCATTTGGAATTCATCTAAGTACAAAGCAACCACAAAATTAGAAAAGTGTAATGCACTTAATTAGATAGCTATAACTTGTACCTGACTAAGATTTCACATTAATTTGTTCTTTAACTTAAGATTAAGGGCCATTTTAGCTCTCACAGAGGTCAATTTCACCCAAATATGTCCCTTCTCACTTCTCCACGCTATCACTCCACCTTTGATGTCAACCACAACCACCACTTTATCAATAGCACACTTAGCCCAAGATCTTTAGAGATAAGAAAGGACAGAAGAAAATCTAATGCACATTGAGTAACCCTAGCGACCTTGAGATCAAGTTGTAGTTTATTTTCTAGTTGAGGATTGGGGCCCTTATGACTCAGTTGTCCATGAAACAAGGGTACCAAAAACTAAAATCTTTTATAACACGTTCTTATCAATTTCTAATGTTCTCCCAACAAGTTAGAGGAGCCCAACAAGTTAGAGGAGTGGGAAATCATAGAATAAAAACCCATCAAACTCACAAGCAAACGAAATGAAGAAGAAAGAGGAAGAAACTGCACAAAAAGTTCATTTTCATAATTCATCTCCAGACTAGCTATATTATTGTGCCTTTAGTAATACGCATCCAGACTATCCTAGCCTAGGTTCTCTAAAATTGCACTCTCAGAACCGACACTTCGTATCTCTAAAAGAGTTCAAAATCCTACTTAGATGCGTCTCCTCCTGCACTCTCCCAAAACACTCAATCAAGTTAACATCATGGATATCTACTCCAAGTCTTCCACCTTACTATTGTTTCAATGCTACTTTTTCAGAACCTCGATATAATTCCTACATTTAACCAAAATCAGGGCCCAAAGCTACCATTTTGGTATCAAGAATACAAAGAGCGCAAGCAATGACAACAGATGAAAATTGGACGAGAAGCATATAACTATAATTACACAAAATAAAAACAATCGCCGGATACAGAAATGAATCTTACTTCATGAGAATGTCATAGTACTCCGGATCCAAGGTCGAGAACATCCCATCCACATCCTTTATCGCCATCATCGCCCGATGCACCACGATCCAATTCGCCGACTGCAACAACCAAATCCAGAACCCCAATTACAAAGATTCCTCTCCGACAAAACCAAAACCTAATTTCTCAAAACCAGATCGAAAAGAACCCCAAACCTTGCACCTCTCGTCCTTGATGCTCGTCGGCGATCCCTCAAGCGCTGTCTTCAGAGCTTCCACCGGCTTAAATCTAACGAAAAAAGGAAAAAAAAAATTCGTCGGAGTTAAGAACGATCCCTTCGAATTAGGGTTTTGGAATCCAGAGAGCTTAACTGTTTGAGCAAGGTCTCGACTTTGCGGGACTTCTGCTCGATCCTCGTGGCCATCGCCTCCAGATTTTCCGCTTCCAGAGAAGACGTGGCAGACGGCGACGCTGGAGGATTTGAGATCTACGCAGGGAGTTATATGGCCGAGGCAAAAATGACGAGCAATTGATAACGGGTCGGGTTTTGTTAATCATCATAATTTATCTATCTATATGTCTATTCCTTTATTATAACACGATGATCCAAAAGATTTATTATTCATTCTAGAGTAAATAATATAGTAATTTAATATAGTATTATTACTGTAGCACATATTAGAACTGTAGTGTTTTTTAAAAATATACTATAGTATTATCACTATAACACAGAGTCACATACGGTTCCGTAGCATTTTAAAAAATGTTACCATAGCACTTATAAAAACATATAAAAACAGAATTAATATAGCTAAAATTAAAAAAAATAGAGACGTGTTTTGCACTGGGTGCACACTTTTATATACTACTAAAGTTAACAGACTCAGCACTGTTCCTAAGCTATAGTAAATGAAATTTCTCCTAAGCACAATAACGTTCAGCTGCAACTCTTTAGAACTACAGTTACAAAAATTTCTCTATATACTATTTCTGAGCATAGTATTTTGAGGGTTGAAACAGCACAGTAATTTGAGGGTTGAAAGTGGATAGCGTGATTTTTGAGTGGCTCTTGGTGTAAAGCTATGGTAACCAAGATTTCTCTATATATACTACTCCTAAGCACAGTAATTTGGTGTAAAGCAATGTTGTTGGCTCTCTACAATCTATTTTGGCTTTTTTTTGCATATGACCCCCCAAGATTTGCCCCAGTTTCCTTCTTCTTCTAGAATGAACTCGAGCTTGAGGTTGAGGTCTCAGGCGGCGATTGGCCCCAACGATTTTTCGATCACGTACCGAATCAGTTCAGGGAGGAGAATCTCAAGGACGGATGTGAGTTTATCTTGATTCTCTTCGAATAGTGATTAGGGTTTTAATGCTATTTCATTGGAATTAAAAGTATTTTTTTAATTGGAATTTGTTGATATGAGCATGAGAAATTGTATATTAAGACGGATGGTATTAGATAATGTTAATTCTTCATGGGTTTAATCATAAACTGTTGAATATTTTCTTCTTCTAAGCGCACGCTCTCTACCTTAATTATAGTGCTTAAATGTTGAAATTTTAGCTATTGATTAGGTTGGGGTTCTTACTTTATTTATTATTTTAGCTTTAGCTATAGTTTAGATTCATATAGTTTAGCTATATCGAGATGGGGGGGAGTTAATTGAATAAGTCTGACGCAAAAAACTAATTTCTATTTGTGTTTCACCAAGTTGGGATAGTATAGATTTTTCGTGTATCAAAAACTTTTTCTTGTGTGGATATGTTCTTGGAATCCACGTTGACTTCTCAATTGATGTATTACATTCTAAGGTTGAGAGAACGTACTCATTAGATTTAAAGAGTTCAGAATGAAATTAAAAGAGATCGAAGTAATTAGTTAAAATCTTATTTGATTGGAGAATTATAGTTTGATTGTAGGAAAAGAAATTTTGGTGTCATTAGACTCGAAGAAATTCTAGAGTGGTTTGCATTGAAGAAATCTTCGTATTAGTAGGATTCAGGGGGGTTATTATTAGAAATTTTAGTATTTTGTTTACATCTTACTTAAATGTTCAAAATTTAGCTATTGATTAGGTTCGGGTTCTTACTTTATCTATAGTTTAGATTCATATAGTTTAGCTATATCGAGATGGGGGAGTTAATTGAATATGTCTTGTGTGGATATGTTCTTGGAATCCACATTGACTTCTCAATTGATGTATTACATTCTAGGGTTGAGAGTCTTGTGTGGATATGTTCTTGGAATCCACATTGACTTCTCAATTGATGTATTACATTCTAGGGTTGAGAGAACTTACTCATTAGATTTAAAGAATCCACATTGACTTCTCAATTGATGTATTACATTCTAGGGTTGAGAGAACTTACTCATTAGATTTAAAGAATTCAGAATGAAATTAAAAAAGATCGAAGTAATTAGTTTAAATCTTATTTGATTGGAAGAATTATAGTTTGAATGTAGGCGAAGAAATTTTGGTTTCATTAGACTTGAAGAAAATCTAGACTGGTCTGGATTGAAGAAATCTTCATATTAGTAGGATTCAAGGGGTTTATTATTAGAAATTTTAGTAATTTGTTTACATTTTACTGATGATAGATGTTTGTGGAAAATTTGTAATAAGAAAAATGAATGAAAGAACTGTATTTGATTTTATTCTCTCTAACTGCTTAAAAAAAGAATGATTACAACTCTCTCAACTCTCGATTACAATTGGATTTCCGATTACAAAAGAGAAGAGAATGATCTGGATTCTCTCCTTTGTTTAATTCTGGGTCCTTCTTGGTAGCGATGAGATGCCTCCCTCGAATGCTTGCGTCGAGTTTGCTTCTCGTTGACGATCCGAATATCTATGCTCACTGGAACAACAGTCTTGTCTGGCTGATAACTCTTGACGAGTTTCGTGATTCAGAACAAGCAACAAACTCTCGTAATAGAGTTATTCAAACCGAAAATAATTCGGTTAATAAACCAAATATCGACGGTTTAGAGCTCCTCCGTTTGTTGATTTCCCAGACTGTGTAAGGAGTCAATCCTCTTTTTCTGATTCTAGGAAATCTGATCGAAAGATCCTTTCCAAGTAATCAAAATCCAATCTCCAAAAATCCGTCCATCGATCTGATTATCAAAAATCTGATCCTTAACTCTGTTGAGTTTGTTGATATTTATAGAGGGATTAGGGGTGTAACTGCCCCCATAATCCGCGCCTAAATGGGGGTTTAGTTACCCCCATTAATCGGGTGTAACAACCCACGTAAACCACTCCCTATATCGTGGGTAGAGAACAGCTTCAAAATTGTTACGATCACGTTTGAATGAGTCAGAACCTTGACTTGCGTTCTGGCGGTGATTGGAAAGAGCTGCTGTGACGAGCTGCGTCGTGCAGCGATAGAGCTGCGTTGGCAGCGATTGGTGAGCTGCGTTGTGCAGCGATAGAGCTGCGTTGGCAGCGATTGATGAGCTAGCTGCGTTGGGCAGCGATGGAGCTGCGTTTGGCAGCGGTTGGCAAGCTGCATTGACAGCGATGGAGCTGCGTTTGGCAGCGGTTGATGAGCTGCGTTGACAGCGATGGAGCTGCGTTCGGTGGCGGTTAGAGCTGTGTTCGAGCTTCTCTGTCTTTATATATGGATGACACCAATGACCAGTAAAGAAGGTCTTATTCGGGCCATTTGTGACAATTGAGGCATCTCAATAACGCTCTATCAACTGCAGGTCACGATCTCCACTAAGATTTCTTTGCATGGTTTAACCATGTGCTCCTCAGTGTGTCGAATATCATTACACTGCTCATCAGCATCTCTAATAGTTGCTAATATAATATTAGTCATGTTGTTGTCACAGCCATCAAGATCAATCATCTCACATAAGAAGCTGTATTCATGTTTGCAGCGGTTGAAACTGTGTAGGTGATTGTATTGGTGTTGTGTCTTGACGATGGTACGTAGGGAGGACTTCCACGTCTTGGTTTGAAGAGATCGTCGATTCGTAATCTCTTTCTGTCAGAGTGTTGCTAAAGATAGCCTTCTGGAAGTCGTCAGATTGTAACTTTCATCGTCGGTGGGGAATCAGCTATCTATTATTATTTTTAGACAGCCTACAGAACCCCCTCCAAAGTTTTCGAAAGTTCGCGGTTGACTGAGACGAATTTTCGAAACACTTTGGAACCCAAAAATTTTGTTGATCAAATGCACCTCATCGCAGATTGAGTGGAGCGTCTTCGTTGGCTTCATCATTCCTTTTTGGTTCATCTGTAATGACTTGGGCTTTAGCTTGTTTGGCTAAGTTCGTCGTCTTCAGGGAAGCTGGGCATTTCTGAGCTTAAGACAGATCTGTCGTCATAGATGGAGAGAACCACAAGCCTGTATCAGAAGGACTTCATCCCCAGCTTAGTCAGAAGGATGGCCTCGGAGGGATTTACTTCATCTTCTTTCTTGATCAGCTTATCTGGGGTTATTGCTTGGAATATTAACCCCTTTAAAGGAGTTATTTATGTGATAGGCTGAGTTCGGTCATCAGAACGCATGTCTAAATCATGCGTTCGACTGTTTGAACGTGAGGGTGCGTTCGGGAGTTGAAACCCCTCTGTTTGAAAACGCGAGAATCACGTTTCAGGTGAGATTTTACCTAAAATCCCGCTTCGATTTGACAGCTACATCTGTTTATAAGTGGGCCACTGAGGTCAAATCAAAAAGTCATTCGACTTTTCCCCTTTTTTCTCGATTTCTAAATAGGGCTACTGTTCATCTTCTCCAGCACTTCAACGGAGGAAAGGATCCGTTCCTAAATACTTCGCCCATCTTCGTCTTCTTCGCCACAGTTGCCATAGGACCCAAGAAGAAAATAGCTTCTAAATCGAAGACCGCCCAAGCTCAGGATGTTCCTTCGGCTAGAACCTCCGGGGATGATCAAATCCCTACGCCTTCGTCGCTGGTTTCTTCAACTAATGGTAAGGTTGAACCGTTGGAAATTGGTTTGACAGGTCTCTCATCTCCAATCCTTGATTGACGATCTGTATTTAAGCTCAAGAGATAATTCTGAGCTGGTAATCAATTTCAAGAAAACGCATGGCTAGCTCCATCGTTCATAAAATTTCAACGCAGGTTTGAACCTTGCGTTCAAAATTTTAGATGTGGGTTGAGACCATGCGTTCGAGAATCCGAACGCAGGTCTACACCTTGCGTTCAGAAATTTAGTTGCGGGTTGAGGCTCTGCATTTAATGATCTGGACGTAGGTCTGAACCTTGTATTCTTGAGTTAGACTTCTTATGACTAACTTTTCTATTTGCAGTATGCTACTCCAAAGAGCCTCTTTCTTTCAACCACTACTTCGGTCATGCGGGAGGTGCGGAGAAGAATACAATCTTCAGCTTCGCCTTTGAATATCCAGTGTTTCAGAACACCCACAAAGAACGGTCGAAGCTCATCACTCAAGCCTTTCCTGAGAC